TTCTGGACATTGAAAAATTATAAACCCATAAAAATTTTGAAGTGTGTGATGCTGAGAAGCTAGACTATAGGATAAAATTAAAAGTTGAAATATAAATTATAGTCTATCTAAACTATAAAGTATGGGATAAATGTAGCATTTCTAAACATTAAACAAAGAACAGCTTTCTCAATAAGTAATGCTTTTCAATAAGTCATTAACATCTTGGAAAACTTGACTGCATTATGAAACCAATGATAAAGTAGTTAAAACTCAGCATTGGTCTGCTAGCTTGTGAATTCTGGAGAGCACAAAATGTGGCTTTTTCATCTTTGCATCCAGGTAGTGCCGTACATATACAGTAGACACTCCATAAATACTTGAATTGTTGAATTTACTTCTTTGAGAAGGGATATCCAAATAGACTAGAGTTAAAAGTTACTATTACTCAAAAAATTTTCTCTGTAGGGAATGGGTTGGATAACACTTAATTAGCTCTTAGAAGCTTTATGTCTTTGGTAAACTCAGGTGATCCAAAATTGACTAGTAGCTATCAGAATACTATGCCACATTTTCATAAGTTACCTTCATTCACTCAAGGACTAAGGGAGCCCATACTAGAACACAGACAAGAATTGATAATACATCTCCATCAAACCTACCCACATACAAACCTGCAATTGGGGAAACCTTATTTACAATATAGAACTGAAAGCTGTCCCTGAAATCTGCCATTGGCAGCAAACAAATATAATTCATTACAGAAAAAGTGACCAGAATTAGAAGGCATTTATTCCAAAATTTTATCCTGATTACTGTTAGTATTCAATATCTTATAAGCCTGGGGAAACATCACTGATAAAAGACTCTCTATGGAAACAAATATTGTTGTGACAGTTGGATATCAGGCTGGAAGAGAAATGACCTGGATCCATAGCTTGACCTTTATATTAGCATTGCTAGATGGATCAGAGTTAAAGCAGTTAGAAGGAATGAATAGGTGGGCCACAAAATTTTTAGGACAATGAAACTACTCTGTGTAGCACTACAATGGTAAACACACATTACACATTTGTCAAAACTCACAGAATGTACACATGAAGTGAACCCTAATGTCGGCAATGGACTTTGGGAGATAATGATGTGTCGACTTAAGTTCATCAGTTGTAACAAATGTGCCACTCTGGGGAGGGATGGTGATGGTGGGGGAGGCTATGCATGTATGAAAATGGAGCAGATGGGAATTCTCTGCTTTCTGTTCAATTTTGCTGTGAACCTAAAACTGCTCTAAAAAAATAAAGTTTATTAATTTTTTTAAACTAACAAAAAACAGAAAAAAAATTATTCCAAAAAGATAAATATACTACTGAAGAGATGCAGATTATTCTTACAGACATAAAAGAGAGGCAGAAAAAAAAAAAATTTTTTTTTTAAGATGGAGTCGCCCAGGCTGGAGTGCAGTGGCGTGATCTCAGCTCACTGCAACCTCCGCCTCCAGGTTCAAGCGATTCTTGTGCCTCAGCCTCTCGAGTAGCTAGGACAATAGGCATGCGCCACCACGCCTGACTAATTTTTGTATTTTTTTTTTTAGTAGAGATGGGGTTTCACCATGTTGGCCAGAACGGTCTGGAACACCTGACCTCAAGTGATCTGCCCTCCTCGGCCTTCCAAAGTGCTGGAATTACAGCGCCCAGCAGAGAAAAATTTTTCAATGAAAGTGTTTTTAGATGAATATATAGGCATAAAAGATAGAGGAAAATATGTGGAAACAGCTTATAAAAACTGAAAATATATAAGGTTAATACCTTAAACAGTTTTATGGCTAATCATGTATTTAGATAAGTAATGCATATGACTTATTTAGTCATTAGAATGAATTTTCTCTGCTTATTGGTTCCTAACTGATTTTGACCTCCCAAAGTGCTGGGATTACAGGCATGAACCACTGTGTCCAACCTCTGATTTCTTTGTATGTAAACTATTTGACTATGAAGTAGAATCTAAGTATTTAGGAAATAATCCAGAGTGAGAGAAAAAGTAACCCTTACAAAAACCTTCACAGTAAAAGTTTGAAAATGACCAAAATGTTACTTGGTAAGCATTGTATTAATGCAGTGAAATCCTATATAATTGTTAAAATAGCAGGAATGTGTGCCATATTGATAAATGAAACTGTTTTTAAAATATCATTGAGTCAAGATTTTATTTTGTTAGAATTTGGAGGAAAAAATTACCTAAGTGATTGTTCAATTATGAATTTAAGGAACTAGTTCCTTTTACTAAAGGTAAAAATAATTCCTTAAGGACCTACTGATGTACCACCTTCATTCAGTCATCAGCTCTCTGTTGGACTATTGCATTTACCCTCTTGACTGGTATCCATTCTTGCTCTAATTAAAACCATCTTCCTGAAATCAGCCATAGTAACCAATCTAAAAGGCAAACTGATGTCACTTGCCTGCTTCAGACTCCTCACTTGATTATTCCATTTGATTATTTGACTCACCTTTGCTGCCTACAAAATAAAGTCCAAATTCCCTTTGTACAGTATACAAAATTCATTACAGCTTAGCCCTTGCCTCCCTTGCAGCTTAGTCTTGTCTGACATTTCATGTCAACTGCTTCATGCTCCTTCAATATGCCATACTCTTTCATGATTCCATGACTTTGCTCATGCTTTTTTCTCCTCCTGGCTCATGCTCCCCACCTTTCTTTATCATCTTAGGAATATTTATCCTTGGCCAGGTGTGGTGGCTTATGCCTGTAATTCCAGCACTTTGGGAGGCCAAGGCGGGTGGATCACAAGTTCAGGAGTTCGAGACCAGCCTGGCAAATATGGTGAAACCCCCGTCTCTACTAAAAATACAAAAAAATTAGCTGGGTGTGGTGGCACGCACCTATACCTCCAGCTACTTGGGAGGCTGAGGCAGGAGAATCACTTGAACCCAGGAGGCGGAGGTTGCAGTAAACCAAGATTGTGCCACTGCACTCCAGCCTGAGTGACAGAGCAAGGCTCTGTCTCAAAATATATATATATATATACACACACACACACATTTATCCTTGATGACAACTCAGACATCATCCCCAGGCTGAGTTAGAGGCCCCATCTTGAGTTTCTATAGCATTCTTTGCATATTTTTATTTCAGCATCTACCAAATCACATTGAAATTATCTTTATATTCAGAAGCTCCTGGACTGAATCAATAAATTAATTAATTAATTTAAAAAGGAAATTATCTGTATATAAGTCTGTATTTCCCATTACACTATAAGTTTCTTTAAGGCAGAGGCCATGTTTAATTATCTGTGTACCAGCACCTAGTTCAGTGGCTGGAATATAGCAGGCATTTAATAAATATAATGGGTACTTAAATAATCTTTCAGGCACTTCAGTAAATGCTAGTGACCTTCAAAGGTTCCCTTTCTGCCATACAGGACCTCACAGCCCACCATACCAAAGAGGATATGGAAAATGTCAGGCAAGAAAGTACTGTGAACAGTCAAATGAGTCACACTGGGTCAAATTCAGCTACCGTTTAGTCAAATTCATCCAGAAATTGCTTACCACCGACAATGCTCATCCTGCAGCATAAAAGACTGTGGAATTTTTCTCTAAGACATTTCTGAGAAATAAAGGCAAGTATGCAGTAGGAAAAGACAAAAGGTAATGTTCTATAATATAAATAAACCATTCCCCTTTTAAGAGTTTTCATGCTCAGTCTTCAATGTGATTGAAAAAATTTTTCAGGCTTGTATTCTCTAGAATCTCAACTGTGTTAAGGGTTTATTTTGTAAATAATGGAAGCAGTGGCAGAATCACTTCCTTCCTATTCCTACTCCCAACCCTGTTTTATAATGTACACACATCAACAAATGTATTTTGTGCTATTAGCCCCGACCTAGTGTTAAGATATGAGATAAGATTATTTCATTCAGCCTTCATAACAAGCCTATGAAGTAAGTTCTATTATTAACTCTATTTTACAGGAGAGGAAATTGAAACTTGAAGAAGTTAAGTAACTTGCCCAAGATTACATCTCTAGCAGCCCTAAGAAGCAGGATTTGAACCCAGGCAGCCTGATTCCAGGGCTCACAGTTTTGATGAGTACACCATACTTCCTGACCTATAAAGGGTAAAATGCAATAAACATTTATTACAATTGGTCCATTACAAATTGTTCTTGACCTCAGGTAAATGGAAATTTATAAGACTGAATGAGCCTGGTACAGTGGCTCACACCTGTAATCCTAGCACTTTGGGAAGCCAAGGCAGGAGGATGGCTTTAGCTAAAGATTTCAAAACCAGCCTGGGCAACATAGTGAGACCCTATCGCCACAAAAAATACAAAATGAGCCAGATGTGGTGGCATGTGCCTGTGGTCTCAGCTACTAGGGAAGCTGAGGTGGGAGAATCACTTGAGCCTGGAAGGTGGAGGCTGCAGTGACCCGTAATTGTGCCACTACACTCCAGCCTAGGTGACAGAGCAAGACCCCATCTCAAAAAAAAATAATAATAATAAAGCTAAATGAATCAAGTTGTCAGTTTTGTTTTATTTTTTAATTAAGGATATTTTGAGAACTATAGAAGTATTAGTTGCTATCATAAGCCTTCCAATAGCAGAGTGTTTTAAACTATTTAAGGATGTTGGGGAAACTAATTACACACGTAACTGTCTCTCCTTTGCAATTAAGTAAGTCTTTTTATGAAAATATTTTAATATAAATTTTTGTACTCTGCTGTTTTAATTAGCATATGTTTTCAACAGAAAGAAACTTCATGTGGAAAGAAATCCTCAAAAGTGCTATCTAAAAACTAAAGTGCTGTTTTTTAAAACTTTACTTTTCTCCTTTTAGACTCCAGAAATAGTTTCTTCATAAAGCTGACTTCCTTTCTGGAAATGATTTTTGTTTCTAAATATGTTGAGAATCCATTCTTCTCATTTTCTCTCTCTCTCTCTCTCTCTGTCTCGCTCTCTCTCTCTCTCTCCACCTCCCATCTCTCTCTCTCTCTCTCTCTCTCTCTCTCTCTCTCTCTCTCCTTTTGCTTTCTTGGTAGTAATTGAGAGGAAGAAGGGTAGGCGCAGGACAGAGAGAAGAGGGAAAACAGAAAAAGAATTGTATGCCACTATGTCTGAATATATCTTGTGCTTGTAGATAATTACATCCAAGTTGCCCTTTTGCCTTTCTATTTCCATTTTTGGGCACCTCTTTTTATCATCCAGCCAACTGGGATAGACAAAGCACCGTTGGTGCCCTGAGCGACAGAACTCTAGTAGGGGGCTGGCTGTAAATTGACGTGGCATGGAAATTCTCTGCTAAGTTTTAGCAGCTTGCATGTTTCTCTAAGATCAAGCCCAGCGTCCTGGAGCTGTAGCTTAATCATGGGTTCAATGACTTTACAGAAAAATGGATAGAAAAATTCTTCATCTCCTTTCTTTGGACCCAGATGTTTTCACTTTGGTTGTCTATGGTTTAGCTGAAAACAAAATCAAAGCAGCTAAGTCTGTAACTTTCTTTTTGCAGCTTAAACAACAGAATTTGCTGCTCTCCCTCCCCTTTCCTGCAATATAATTCCTTACAGATTTTGCCATGGGGTGCGGACTTAGAAAGCTAGAAGACCCTGATGATAGCAGCCCTGGAAAAATATTTTCTACCCTGAAGAGACCGCAAGTGGAAACAAAGACAGAATTTGCTTACGAATATGCATTGCTGGATTTCACTCTACAAGGTATTTTTGCTTCTATTTTGTTTGTTAAATGTTTCAAAGATAAAAGACTACTAGTTGTTTATAGTGTTGACGTATAAATTTTTAAACCGTTCTTCATAATCAGATTGCATATTCAAACAATAATGCTTTGCTTCTTAATTGTATTTTACAAGATTTTTGTTTTGTTGTTTGCTTCATTTTTTTGGTGACATGGCTCATATGTACCTTCTAAAATTAGGAAAATTGCTTGGAAATGCTTCTTTTATTTTTAAATCAAATACTTACTTATAGAAGGATTTATGAAAAATGCTTGATTTCCAGGACAAACAGCTGTAGCCTTAGTGACGTTTGTATTTTGAGAAAGATTTGAAAATCACAAGAAGGTATTATGTAGAAAATATTACTTGCATCATATTGTGGAAGAGTGCTTGCTGAGACAATTCTGAGGCTTCCAGTTGTGTTAGACTCTGTAATTATGGTAGTCATTTAGTATTTTTGACCAAACTAAACTATAAGTTTTGAAAATGTAGTTAAAAAAAGAAAAAAAAAAGCCTTCTGTGAGACACTTCCTTTGCTCAGTGCCCTGTCCCTAACAGAGAAACTCTCTGTTCCAGAAAGTTGGAAACACAAATAAACAAGCCCAGATGGCAGCTCTGTGGAAGGAATTGAGGCGGTTCAATTTCACAAATACTTTGCCTTGTTTCTTTTGGAAACTTTAGAGTACTGTACAACTGCATAGACAAAGCAAGTTTTAAAAAGAGCTATATCTTTAATTATGAGGTACCAAAAATGAAATTTAGAGTGACTTGCTTACTGTTAAAGTTATCCACTATTAGCATTTAAAGTTCTTATTATAGTTATGTTTTTAATTCTAATGAACCACACATTTTATCAGTTCACAAAAAGTTTATACTAAATTATCATGTTGAATATTATCTTAATTTTTTTTCAAATTTTTTGTTTACACACGTTGTCTTTTTTTTTTTTTTTTTTTTTTTTTTGGTTTGCTCTAGAAACAGTGCATCTTTGTGCAAGAAGCAAGAGCAGCCCATTTTTCTTTGTCAAAAATTAAGCTGGCCAGCAAACAAACTCCCTTCCAGGGACATACACAAAATCTGTACATAGACTTTTAACGTGTTCACATCCTATTTTTATTTAAAGCTAAAGCTACTGAAAGAAAAAATATTAATATTATTAATTTCTTAATTTTTTTAATTATGAGAGTTAGAAATGAATTAAGACAATGGTGATTATCAGAAAAGCAACCAAACAATCCTATGAATTTTTTCTATGCTTTGTCAAAAATCTTCATCTGAGAAAATATTTGTAATGTGGTGCTATGTTGACACCATCAATTTTCCTTGTCAGTTTCTTCTTTAGGACTAGTTTCTACAAATCTATAGGAAACACACACATACTCTTCTTAATCTTGAAACACTGTCTATTAACAAATTTAGGTCAGAACCATTTTGATCTGTACCTTAGGATTTTCTGTACAATCCATTGGAAGATCATAGGGTTTAAAGTAACTTGAAAAGTTTTTCTGATTCATTTCCTTCCAACTATATTAACATCTCAAAATAATTTGTATAAATGCAGTCATCCTTGAATCAGAACGATCTGCAGCTTTATTCAAAAGTCATTTGGGTTTTGTTATTATCAGAAGCCCTTTTCTCTGTGAAAGGGATATGATTTCTACCTTCCACTCTAGGTGCTTAGAAGAGACAACAAAGTATTACACTGTAAAGCGTAAGTATGGGCAGAGTGTGTAAATGTTAGCACATAAAGCAGGCACATACTTTAAAGCTGCACCTGGTTCCTATTTGGTAGAGGCGCCTAGTCTCCTGGTGCCCAATTGCTCTCCAATTTTTCCACATGTTTTTGTTTTAGTTTTTTCTTTGTTTCTGTCTTCTCCATTGCCTTTGCTGCAGAAGCCAGGACTGAGCATCAGCCCAGCTCCACAAACCACCTTCCAGGTCATAGTTTCCCTGCCGCTCTTCTGTTGTCTCTGACCTCCTGTCGCAACTCCCATGTATATAGCAGTGGGTCATGGGTGGGTTAAAACATGCCAGCCTTCTGTTAGGCACTGGTAATTCTGTCCCGGGGTTGCTGGGAAGAGTCTTGAATAGTGGCACCTCTTGCCTGTCAGAAGCCACCATGGAATGAGCAACCTTTCAGGAAATAAAATGGCAGGGTGACAGCTGTGTGTGCTCATGATGAGGCCCGTCTCTTACATTGTTTTCCTCTGTTTTTTCCAAATAGAGGCCATGGCACAGAATGTAAAGTTCCAATGGGGGCAGGAGGAGGAGACCCTCTGAAAATCCACAATGCCCTTTCCTGCATTATGGTGGTTGTAATTTCCTTGAACAACTTATTTATTTTCCATTCAATATATATCACTTTCAAAGCTCCACCCAGAAAACAAAACAACTTACATCTCCCATTTGCTCCTTAACTCTCTGTCTCTGTCTCTGTCTTTCTCCTTCTCCCTTCCCCACACTTTTCTTTTTCTTGTTAGCCTTTGAATCATTATTTACATCTCTATAGGAGAATCATAACATAGTGTTGAAGCATACAAAGCTCTGGAGTCATAGTTTTGGGATCCTGCATCTAGGCTGAAAACTGTGGCGAATTTGTAAACCATGCTCTATCTCAGTTTTCTCATCTATAAAATGGGTATTCTCATAGTGCTGACATCACAGAGTTGTTTTAAGGATCAAAGGAGGTAATACAAGATGATCTACTTGGAAAAATATCTGGCACTTAGTAAGCACTTGATAAAAGTTAACTGTTAATGATCCTTCCTCTGAGAATACCCTCTGTCTCCACATTCCTCCCCTAAACCCAGGTCTTGTAGGATACTTTTTGACCAACCTATTGAGGTCATTAAAATAATTCCTTCATATTTCCTCTGATATATAAGCATCAAGTATTGGTTACTTGTATGTTCTCTTCAAGGATTCATACACATCTTTCTTATTCTGGCCATAAAATTATTAGTCTGTGCAACTATAACTCGACAAATGTTTTTGGAGTCGTTCCTGATTATGCTGTTATGCTGTGTATCTTAGGGACTATAAAAGAAATAAAATACATAGCCCCTTCTTTCAAGAAATGTAAAGTCTCATCCAGGTATGCCGAGTTTTTCTGGAGCTTTATGCCAAATCTACCAACTGCAGTAATGAGGGTTCAGTAAAATGTTTGTGATATGTTTTCTGGATTATTGTATAGTAATGATTTCTTTCACCATATCATGATAAAGTAACAATTTGTTACTCTTTTTTATTAGTGAAATTTTGAAGTTGTTTAGAGATTTCTTATAGTATATCTATTTATATTTGTTTATGAAAGTATATAATGTATGTATATATGAATGTATTACAGAATTTCTTAACAAAAAGTTAAAATAACTCTGCAAATGATCCAAAAGGGTTAATTTACTTTCTTGCACAATTTCAGGAAACAATCTGAATAATAATAGCCTAAAGAGTTTTTAGAGCATTTATAGCTTTATGAGTAAAAAGAGGTTCTACAATACTAAAACCCAACAGAAAATTGGATGATAGCTTCCTTATTTGAATTTCTGATAGAAATACATAAACTATGAGTGAAGTTTTGCTAGCCTCTAGCTTTCTTCACTATCATTAGAACCAGAAATTCTATTGTCTTTCATCATCGCCATTAACAGCAATAGATATATATTATATATGTACTCTGTAGAAAATGCTGATTAGGCTGGGTGCAGTGGCTCACACCTATAATCCCAGCACTTTGGGAGGCTGAGGTGGGTGGATCACTTGAGGTCAGGAGTTTGCGACCAGCCTAGCCACCATGGTGAAAACCCACCTCTACTAAAAATACAAAAATTAGCCAGGCATGGTGGTGGGCACCTGTAATCCCAGCTACTCAGGAGGCCGAAGCTGGAGAATTGCTTGAACCCAGGAGGTAGAGGTTGCAGTGAGCAGAGGTAGCACCATTGCACCCAAGCCTAGGCAACAAGAACACTACTCTGTCTCAAAAAAAAAAAAGAAAAAGAAAAGGAAATTCTGATTGGCATTGGAAATATAAAGAAGAATAAGACAATTTCTGCACTCAAATGTTTTGTATTCAATTTGGTCAAACTGGACAAGATCATGAACTCATCAAGGTTAGGAACTATATCATCTCCATCTTTGTACACTCTGTCCAGCACAATGTTTGGAATATGAATGATGGTCAATACTCTTTGTTGAATGAATGAATAAACAAAAAATTACAATACAAGGTACATGTGGAAGAAATAGTGTGCCACAAATGTCAGAAAAAGGAGAAATCAATTTTGAGTAAGATCAGTGGAACTAGAGTTAGGACTTTAACTGATCCTTGAAGAAAGAAAAAGATTAAGAGGTTGAAGTAAGTTCAAGGGTTAGTGAACAGAGCAGTGAGCTAAAGGAGGTTTTTTAGGGAGGAAGCAGAAAGTAAAATTGTAAACTAATGGAGTAAGGGAAGGTTCTGGCTAAGCTAGGGAGTTAAGACCTAATTCTATGAAAGATAAATGGCATTAAAGGCTCTTTGAACAAGTAGTTGATAGGTGCAGAAAATATTTTAAGAAGATTCATGTGGAATTGCAGTGAGGAGGGATGGAGGCAAGAAGTCAAGGCTAATGATGATAAGGACCTGAGGGTGAAGGGCAGCAACAGGGATAGGATACAAAGGGTAGATATAACAGATGTTATGAAGGAGGAACTTAGCCTGTGACTGCCTGGATATAAAGGGCAGAAAGAATGAGGCAGCCAGGATGACTTCCCAGTTTTGAGTCTGAATGACTATAGAAATAATGCGGCCTCTTACAGAAGTGGGGGGCACCCCAAAGAGAGTCTGTTTGTGGTCAAAGAGCAATTCCATTACAGTAATGTTCCATTTGAGGTGGCAGTGGAAGATCTTAGTAGGGGCAGTTATTGATGCACAGCTGACAGTGAAATTTTCAAGAGATAATTGAAATAGAATTTTTTTTTTTTTTGAGACATGATCTCACTCTGTTG